GTCTGTTTTATGGATATTGTAAGGGTATGTAGAAGGAGTATGTGTGCTTCTTTAGGGGTCATGAATCTTTTCCAAGGCAACAAGGGATAGTAAAGGGAGGCAGAGGTGGGAACCAAGTTTGGTCAGTCACAGTAACTTAAGAGAGCATGTGAAAAGGTAGGAATGTTTATTCCAGCAGGATCATTTGATGCCTTCCAAGCTGGGAGACAATGACAAGAAACAAACCTCTCAGTCACACTAGTCAGTGGGCTATCGAAAAACAGGTGCTGCTTCCAGGAAGATCAACCTGGACTTGGCAGCTGATAAGACTGTGAACTGGGGCAGCGAATCCAGACTGGGAAGGTGAGGGAAACTGCAGAGTTCTGTGAACCCATGGGGGCTGTGCAGGGTGGGAGCAGGAGAAACAAAGAGGGGGGATAGGTAGTAAACTGTGTAAGAGGGCCAGTTGTATGTAAAAACAGGGCTGGTAAGCATGCATGTCTGGCCAAGCCCTGTGCTTGATCACTGCAGTCTGTCCTATCTTGTATTTGTCTCTCATTAAATCTTTCCTTAACTGCCTCTGCGTATTTGCATTCTCTCTCCCACGGCTACATAAAATGCAAGGATTAAGTGCCAGGTCCATTGGCAAGGATGTGGGTGAGTGAACCTCATTGACAGCTACTGGAGTCGGGCAGGGGAAAGGTACCTCAGCTGTGGTGTCCCCTACTTGAGCAAGTGAGGTCCCAGCATCAGCTGCTGGAGCAAGGGGCTCCCTCCTGTTGGGGCAGGAGTGTTGTATGCTCCCAAACAATCACCTGGGAGGAGGACAAGCGTGGGCTTGTATGTGTATGGACATGGACAGAGGAGCTCTGGCAGGCACTCAAAGGATCTGTGAACATGTGTACACTTGTGAACCTGGAAAGCGCTGTGTATGCCTATACTAGTGAACTTCTGTTTCTACCAGAAGGGAGGTAGAAAGGTCTCAGCTGTTTGTGTCTGTTTTATGTGAGTCCTGTGTGCAAGTGCTATTGAAGGCAGCCTTTGACTAGGACAGCCTTTGTGGCTGGTGTGCCAGTGTCCTGTTTCTGTCTATGTGTGTCACAGGGATATGTGCTCAGCTTTGCTTTTGCTCAGATTGAACCTGCAAAGGGGAAAGTGGAAGCCATGTGCCCCTGCCTGGCCAGAGACTCCAGATTGCAGGGACTGGGCTGGGCCCCAGCAAACGGGCCCTGGGCCAGAGCAGCTGGAGGAGGCAGCTGGTCTCATCACTCTTTATCTCCCTTAACGTATCTATCTATATTTTAACAGACCTATTTATATTTGGAATATATCTGGTCTTAAAAGGTTTACTGATAACAAATTCATTCATGACCAAAGACTGCTCAGATTCCCTGTTGATGTTAGAAAGAACAACAAAAGTATTGTTTCTTTATTTATAGACAAATATGTTTTCACCAATTCGCTACTGAGTCATTTCTTTCTTCTTTCTCACTACATCATTATTTCTTAAAGTATCATGTTTCAGTACAACGTACTACCACACAACACACTACAGAATATTCCAGTATGTTGCAGTCCATATGCGTGCAGACACCTAGCGTCTGAGTTTACTCTGACTTGTACTGAATTATCAACCACCTTCTTACATGGGCAGGTCGGAGCAGAAAACACACACAGGCAGACAGAAGCACAAGCACAAACAAAGTTATAATGTGATTAATCCAATGATAAATTAAAACTTAACCCTTCATGTCTGATTGCTCAGTCACAGAATCAAAATGTGGTGAGCAGTGAAGCTAAAAGCTGTGCTCTTTCTCTTTCAGAGGGAGAAGGACCCTCTTCAAATAAGTAGTGCTTTTTGCCACCCTCACCATGGAATTCCTATTTATATCTTTATTTATATCAGTATTTATATCTTCCTATTACCTGCTTTGCTTTTTCACTTTGCATGGGATGTTTTATTTTTGTTGTATACATGCATGTTTGTTATGCTCTAATTCTACCTACTCACAGGACTGTACTCTTTCAGTGACAATTTGGGTGACAGTTATGCCCTTGATGCCTCAGGTATCATCCTGAGCCTCTATTCCCCAAACCTCTGCTATTTGTGTGCATTGCTTGCACTCTTGAGGCCTGTTGCTACACTGATCTTGCAAGCACTTGTGAACAAATTTAGCATTTCCCACAGCTGCAAATATCATTTGTAGCTGTCAGCTAAATCATGACTTGAAAAAGCAAAATTTTGGGCATACTGATTTTGTTGCATATTAAATCAAAATATTTTATAATGGGACAGACTAACGTTCAAGCAGGTATATTTAGAAAGATTTTTTCTTATATATAAACTATGCCACACTGCATAGGACACACAGAACTCTTATTAGTGAAACCATTCAATATACACAACATGTTCTATCATCTCTAATGAAACAAAATGTGGAGAGAGGTATTGTACTCATCTTATTTGCAGTGCCCTATGAAACAAGTGCCGCTTGCCTGTGGAAATACCAGAATGGGCTCTGGGCGAAAATGCATCCATGGATGAAACTAGTCTAAATAATTAATATTTATTTATTTATTTATTTATTTTTCTCTTACTGTGCCCCAAGAATTTTGGGGTGACATACATTTTGCCTTTTAGCAAAATGAACAAGCATTTAGCAGTTATGCAAGAGCATACATTTTTTTTTTTAGATGTGTTTGCAGTTTCATTTCCAAATTGCATGTGGGATGGAATGACCTCATGCGGCAGCACACATTGGGATCAAGTAGCTAGAAAGTAGTTTTGATTTCTTGCTTTTGGGTCCTGGTGAACAGTAAGCTGACTATGAGTCAGATCTCTGCTCTTGCAGCAAAGAACACCCACCACATAATAGGCTTTATTATCAAGAGCGTAGTCAACAGGTCAAGGAAACTGATTTTTCTTTTCAGCATTTGTGAGTCCACATCTGGAGTACTGTGTCTAGTAGTGAGCTTCCAAATATAAGTAAAACAATTGATATAGTGGAATATATTTGCTGGAGGAACTCCAAGAAGGTCAAAGGGATGTAGGACATGCGATATGAAGAGACACTGAGAGAGCTTGGTCTGCTCACCTTAAAAAGAGATCATTAAGGGAAGGCTTTATTCTGTCTACAGATACCTAGTAGAGAAGGAGGAGCCTGATTCTTCTCAGCAGTGAACAGTGGAAGGATAAGAGGACACAAGCTGGAACACAGAATTTATTTGAAATGAATAGACAGTAAAAAACTGTACCCTGAGGATCACCAAACACTGAACAGGTTGCCTGAGGGGCTGTGGGGTCTCTGTGCCTTAATATATTCAAAACTCAATTGGGCACAGCCCAGGGCACCCAGTCCTACTTGGACTTACTTTGTTGAAGAGGTTGGAGTGGAAACCTGTGGGAGGTCCCTTCCAGTCTACAAAATTCTGTGCTCTGATGATTGCCTAATTTTCTCATTGTGCCAAACATGAAAGCAAAATCTAATTAATATTGTGTCCTTAATTCTTATATTTCTTCCATAAATTCCCAAAAGAATGTAAACATTTTTTCCTATTGTAATGAGTTACTTAAGCATTATTAAATCATACCCTAGAAGTGCCTAGGTGTAGTGGGTTTACGTGGGTTTTGGTAGCAGCGGGCCATAGAGGTGGTTTCTGTGAGAAGGATCTAGAAGCTGCCCCATGTTTGGGAAGGGCCCCACTGCTGACCAGAGCTGAGCCAATAAGCGATGTTGTTTTGCGCCTCTGTGAGAGCATATTTAAGACAGGGAAAAAAAAACGCTGCCCCACACAGCAGCTGTGAGAGTGAGAGGAGTGAGGAACAGCCTTGCAGGCGCCAAGGTCAGTGAAGAAGGAGGGAGAGAGGTGCTCCAGGCGTCGGAGCAGAAGTCCCCTGCGGCCTGTGGTGAGGACCATGGTGAAGCAGGTTGTCCCACTGCAGCCCATGGAGTACCACGGTGGAGCAGGGTTCCACGCTGCAGCCCGTGGAGGAGACCACGGTGGAGCAGGTGGCCCTGCACTGATGGAGGCTGCCGCCTGTGGAAGACCCCTGCTGGAGCAGATTCCGGGCCGGACCTGTAGCCCGTGGAGAGGAGCCCATGCAGGAGCAGGTGACCTGGCAGGAGCTGCTGCCCGTGGGGGAGCCAGGTTGGAGCAGTTTGCTCCTGGGGGATGGACCCCGTGGTACGGACCCATATCTGGAGCAGTTCTGGAAGAGCTGCTGCCTGTGGGAAGCCCACGCCGGATCAGTTCATCAAGGACTGTATCCCGTGGGTGGGACCCCACAGCACAGGGGACGAGAGTGACCGAGAAGGAGCGGCAGAGAAGAAGCACTGTAGACTGACCATAACCCCCATTCCCCCGTTCCCCTGCGCCGCTCGGGGGGAGGAGGTGGAAGAGGGTGGATGGGGGGGGAGAAGGTGCTTTTGGTTTCTTTCCTTTGTTTCTCACTTCTCTAGCTTGTTAGTAATAAGCAATAAATCTTACTATCTCCTTATGCCTAGTCTGTTTTGCCCGTTACAATAATTACTGTGTGATCTTCTTGACCTTATCTCAGTCTTTGAGCCCCTTTTATCGTATTTTCTCCCCATTCCTCTTTGAGGAGGGGGAGCTCAGTTGCCCACTCAAGCGGAACCACAACACTAGAGCTCTGTCAGAGGCCCTGGTGCAAATGCCTCCATAGAAATGTCTAAATTCTGTGAGATGAAAAGCACATGCCCAGTCTTCTTGTTAGGTGTAAACCACTTTCATGTAGAATATAGAGAATTATTAGAAAAGAGTGGGTGCTCCTTTCCTTCAGACATTTTGCTAAGCTTTTTTTTTTTTTTTTTTTTTTTTTTTTTTTCTGAGTACCTGATGGGGTTTCACGTTAATTTTTTTTACTTTGTACTCTAGAGTTGCTATTCAGAAATCAGGAAATTGGTTTTGTAAGTACCACTCAGTGTAGGGGAGGCTAATCTCGCCATACAGGGGAGGAAAAGGGGGTGGTAGAATTATGGAATTACTCTCTTTGTTTACAGACATATTTTTGCTTTTCAACAATGGAAGTCTAATGAACAACATTAAGGAGCCGGGTATGGTTCCATGGCTTCTTACAAGGCTGGCAGCAGTTCCCCGTTTGCATACACTCGGAGACCATCTGCTGAGAAGGCCATGAAACACACGTAAGTAGTACACTCCTGGTTATCCACACCTCTCAGCTTCCTCTCAGGTTTGTCTCCAAAATGGGCCTTCAGTAGATAGCCTTGAACTGATACAAGTCATTTAGCCTTGTGGGCAGCAGCTGATCTCTGTCCCTGTTTTATTTAGCTGTATGGGCACAGCCATGGTGGCTCATGTTTAAGACCAGAAGCATGTCTTAGCTAGGAACATTGCATTTCCCTGCAACACCAAAACATGACTCATACAGCTTTGTGAGACTGAATATTCTTCAACTCACAGTTTGTAGAACTGGGAAGAAAAAAAAAAAGAAAAAAAAAAGTCTAACCAAATTTTAAATGAACCTGGCTTCATGCCATCCCATGTTTTTGCAAACAAAAAGCCCAACTGACAAAATATAGCCAGTCACTATAATATACCTAGTATTAATTACAGGTTGAGATTTTAGTCTCCTGTGGCAATATTAAAATATTTGCTATTTTCTTTCCTGATTTATGACTGATGGAGTTACATTGCTATTATACACATTTGGATGTATACTTGTTTTATTATACTTTAATTTTGGAGTGGCTTTTCCAATGTTATTTTGTTACTATATGTTTCAGTAATTTAAGACAGGCACTTTAACAAATATGTCTTTTCTGAACTTTATATTTTGAGAAGGGAGAAGGAAATGTCAGGTATCAGAAAAAAGAGATTACTGAAGGTCTTCTGCAGAATTTGTAAAACTGTATATGATTATACATACCAAGAAAACAAAGGTTATAAAATGAGAAATGTTAAGATAAAGAAGGGTCTGTTTTATGATATGAGCATTCTTATTGGCTCTGGTCTCATGTACATATGAAGTACATAATTGATGTAATCAAGGTTGAACAGGTTTAAAAATTAATTTCCATGTTAATCATTTAAATAGCATGATTTAAAGCTATACTGAATGTGCATTTTCCTATAATTATATATTCAAGCCACAATGAAACTATAACACTGAAAAATAATGGAACTAATAATCTCTATCAGCTTATAGTAAAACACTTCCCACAAATATTTCAACGAAAGAAAGGAAAAAAAAAGTTTTTTTTTTTTTTTTTGTTTTGTTTTTTGTTTTTTTTTTTAAATAAAAAGGATTAAGAGCTTACTAAAGTTCACTGAATGGACTCCTAAGCTTTGAAGTATGCTATTCAAAGAAGTGAGACTTTTACACTAAAATCCACATTGTGTGGGAGCTTGTGACACCGTTATTGTTTCAATTATGTATCCACAGTAGCTTTTTTTTTCACTTTAACAAGGTTTTGTGTTAATGCTTCTCAAAAGCCACATGTGCAATGTTGTTTAACTGTTTAAGACATTACTGCATTAATTTATTATATTAAGATGTAGGTTATATAAAAGTGATATGAAGACTTTCCCTGCAGCCTTACAATATTTTTTTCTTTCATTTCACTTCTTTAATCATCACTACTGCTATGCAATATACTATTCTGAGAGTGAATTGGATTTAAACAAGTGTGTAGTTACAATATGTAGTTACAACATGTAGTTATTGTCAGTGACACTTAAACACTGCTAAATGTCAAGTACAGGCTTACATACTTCCCTGAATAATTTCCTAAAGGAATGGTTTAGGTCTTTGTACTTGTGTATGCATTTCTCATTCCCTTGCTGTTCTTCAGCTGTCCACTGTGGCATGCCAGACAGGTATATGTTATGCAACACAATGTCATTCCTCATTAAGACAAAATGACTGGGAAGTTTACAGAGGTGCAGTTTATATTTTATGTACCTGTGAGATTACAAAAGCCACTTATTTGACATATCTACCTTGCGGCTATTTACATAAGAAAAACAAACAAACAAAGAAACAAAAAAAAGTCATTCTAAAACAAGAGAAAAAGATTTGTGTGATAGCTTAGTGACTGATTGCATTCTCATTGAATGCAAGTAAGTGCCTGTAAACAAAATTGCACCTGAGTAGTCTATTTTCTTTGTCTGTGCTGAAAGTGAGGCAGAAAATCAACAAGCAACTTAAATAACATCCTTTCAACTTCAATATCCTAATATACTGGTAACAGAGGGAAAGCATTTTTAATATATACACCATATATCATATGTATGATCATTTACTTTTCTAAATTTTTTTTTTCTGACATCTGGTTCTTCCAAAAGCTTTCTTAAATTGCTGAGCCTTTGTGTTCAAAATGTGAACACAGGCATGTTTATTCAGCAGACATAAATGGACTTGCAGTATATACGTTCACATGTTCCAAGGTAATTTTGACGAGTATTAGCAACAGTGATGTTGGCACGGGCTTGCAGTGCTTACCTTGCCCACTGCCACTGCCTGTGTTGCCAAGCCTTTTGTGTTACTGATAGCTAAGAAAGTCCAGCTCTGCATGTAACGCTATCACCTCTTAATCGGTGTGTGCAGTATAGCTCATGAGATATACATCTTCAGAGTGGCCTTGTTAATTCACAGAGAGGCAAAAAGCCTTTTATGAATTTTCATTCTACTTGTAGATAAGTCATTAAGACAGACTTTTCTGTCTTGATTGGTGTATGCATGTCTCCATAAGGAAATTCATAAGGAAAGGGCTACATATATGCATAGCCCAAAAGGGAGTGGAGCCGAGGTGAAAGTTAAAGCTACAGAATGATATAAAACATATTGTAAATTAGAAGGAATTAGCATCTCACATTATATGCTACCAGAAGCCTCATGGTAGTGATTCCTTTCTAAGGTTTCTGTGCACTTAGTCTGAAGACTTGGCCTTAGTATGTGTCATTCACTCTTAATTTTAAACAACTCTCTCTCTAAAAAACATTTTTAAGAGTAAGTAAAGAGTAAGTAAAAAGCGTTAAGAAATTTTGTGGCCCAAGTGGCTGAACTTTTGTCTGATAGTATTATTGACCTGGAATTTATTTCTGAAGAAAGAGTCAGAAAAGATCTCTGCATTTCCACCCAACCTTGTGTTACTACGAGTATTACCACCCTGTACTTGTACATTCGTTATCATAAAGCTGGATATAGTATTGACTTTCTGCCTTTCCTAAACAGTAGATTAAAGTGACTATTCTTCCTGTTTTGCTGGGCTCTCTCAAAATTTTAAGCAGATGACTTCCAGAAACATTTTTTAAATTTTAACTCAGGTTTTCTATTTACTGATTTGGAAATACCTATTCAAAGAAGAAATGGGGTAGAGAAGAGTTATACTCAAGGCCCTAGGTATATAGCTCCTGGGACATATGTTCCATACTTTTTGTTACTACATTTGTCTTTCTTTTTGTATGTGTGCATGCATAACATCGTAAGCAAGGAAAGCTAAAAATGAAATGAAATGAAATTAAATAAAATAAATACTTTATCTCTCAGTGAATTAATATACTGCAGAAATCAAAGATCTTTCCTCACTGGAAATGCATTGGTTACAGGCTCTGCTTTTGACCTTCAAATACCTTGGCAAGAACAAAGATCATCTGTGTAGATGGACTGAACTTCACAACTCAGAGAAACATAGGAAAGACAAATAGGTTTGCTGAATTTCCCTTGCTCCGACAACTAAATAAAAACTGTCCTGACTTTACTTAATATGGTGTAAATAATTATTGTTTGAAGAGTTAGCTATATTGTATTTATAATCCTATGTCCTTATAATGTATACAATGTACAATAGTTTGAAAATAGTGTAACAGATAGTGAAAGTTTTATGTAGTTGCATTGCATTAAAAAAAAAAAAAAAGTGTCTGGAGCTCTTGATTTTCATTCCCCACCAGGCTTTTACCATGACTATTATTTTTAGGTGTCATGGTAGCACCTGTAGATAGTAAGAAAAATATGTGCCTCCCCTTGTCATGATGTTGGCCTTCCAAACGTGTATTTTATTGCTCTTGACTTCTATTTTTTCTGTGGTGACACTTCAAAATGAACATCACATCCCTGATTTCCATAAGCACAGATGGAATTCATCAGGGAGACATAATTCCAATTCTTTCCCCCTTCCTCTCATTTTGAATGACAAGTGTAATAATAATGAGATCAGACGAAGACATAATCTTTAAAATTAGAGAAGGAATGGCTAAAGTGAATGGTCATATTAGTGAACTAAGAAATTACATTTCCATAAAGACAAAATTAGACACTTTCAGAAAATGCTTGGACAAAGCTGAAAATCACATGAGCTTTTCAGAAGATTAGATGCCGCAAATGAGACAGGACATCATCAAAGCACTGGGAAAATTATGTGCCATGAGGATGTGATATTTAAAACAGAGGAAAAATAGGAAGCTGCAACCTTTTCTGAGAGCAAAATGGGAACTGTCTCCAGTTGTCATTCTGGACACATCTCTTATTTCAGAGAAGTCTTATCACGAGTAGATGTTTGACGTATTGCATCTACATCTGGCAAACACCAAAGTCTCTTGGTTTGTTTCTTTACTACTGTGCTTCAGCATGAGTGGCAGAGCTTGTTACTGTGATAAGTATGTTTGAACTGAAATGAGCTATTTAGGAATCACTATCCAATTTTATATTCTTTGCTAAAGCCAGGGCTAAACACTTCCTACTTTAGAAGCCAAGGGATATTCAGTTTGATGCTTCTGTAACAATTGTGGATGATGCAGATTGCTTCCCTGAAGGTAGAAACCCCTTAAAAACAAACAAACAAACAAACAACAACAACAGTAACAAAAACAGGATCAGAAGATCAGAAGATGCCTTCAAATATATTTATATTTCAAATACATCCTTTTTCCTATATGGGCAATGTCAGCATTTACTTTAGAAGGATGGCTTCTCTTCTTCTTCAAGAGAAAATAATATTCTAAAATGAGATGGGATGGATGCCATTTTGTTCAGCTTCCATCTATTCTCTCTCTGACAGTCTTGCTAGATCATAATCAGCACATCACATCTGCTCCTTATCATGAACAGAAAAAGATGGTGGGAAAGCAAAATGATTCTTTCCATGCTGTGTTTTCTGTGTTTTACTTTATGGGTAGCTATTTTAATGCCTGGATGCAGAATGCAAGTGAAACCTGAACTTTTAAAATGTCCTGTTGAACTCACTGTCAGCATTTCCTGTTCCAAACACACTGAAATGTTTGTATTCTGGATAACAGAGTGAATCCAGACAACTAATTGAAAATTAAAAAAAAAAAAAAAAAGTCTAAGATAGTCACCTAGGTTTCCTTGGTTGCCACTGTGGAGACAGAAATCTTTTAAATGGTCATCCAGTCCATCTCGTGATAATGTCTAAGGTAAGTGAGGAAACTCACTCTCTGGAGATGTTTTTGTTCATCTCTCACCTTGTCTGTTGTCTGCTCCATTGTAATGAATTCTGTGCATTATACATCTATAACTCAAACTATGAGCTGCAGCTTTTGGTCTGCCCTAGGTCTCTGGTACTGTGGTTTCCTTTTCATGCCCATAGTTTTACGCCACTCTTCAGCCTCCCTAAGGGCTGTCCTCTACACTGTGAAAAACATACCTTGGGCACATTATTTTGTGTTAGTGTGGTTTTGGATTTCATTTGAAATGGCATGAAATAAAAAAAAAAGATTAAAATTAAATTTTGAAATACATTCTTTTTGAAAGAAAAAAAAAAAGCAAACAACTATCTTGCATAAATATGTGTGATATACTGCAAATAAACAATTTCATTTTAATTATAGCAAGGTAAATGCAGCACTTCTATATAACAGATGAGTGATAAATGTTGTTTTGAATTCAGTACTCCAAGACAACTGCTAGATGAATAGTGAAATACAGTATTTTATTATTAACTATTCAGTATGCCCAGATTCAAAATCCAAAAGTTCCAACGTATCAGCTATATTTGATTCCTAAGGAAATTTGAATCCTCATCTGCCCTTTATTTCTTTTTAAATTTTATTCTCCTAATAATCGTAGGAGATGGGTAAGAATTACATTTAAGGTATAATCATTATTATTTGTGTAGCCTAGGCTTTTGTTTAGTCAGGAATGCACATTTTTTATTACAATTCCTGGGAAATATCCCCCGAAATTCCCAGTAGTTTTGTTAAGTCCAATAAATAAATAAATAAATAAATAAATAAAAGATGTAAAGGTTTCATAAAACTCAAACACATCACCATGGTATTGCCATCCTGCTGTTTAACCTATGAGGAGAATATTGCAGAACTACATTCCATGCTGTGCCTGTGCTTTTGACTGTGTTTTCTCTCCTGTTTCATTTATGTATTTAGGGTTAAAGAGCTGTCAGGGAAATGGAAGCCTCAGGGGTCAGATAGCACTCAGACAAACCTTTCATTCCTGGGTATCCAAACTAAGTGTATTCCTAAACCTGTCTCTGCCGTAAGCACTCACTCACTGAAGCTCCACATAAAAATGTGCTCATTGTGCTCCACATAAAAATGAAGCCTGTGAGAGACGTGTTTCCAAACAGAACATGTGAAAGTCAAGTCTGTAAGCAAAAGGCAATCTTTCTACTGGTTACTAAGCACATATCTCACTGAATTCCCCAAGTGCTAAAATGCAAGGCCATATCCATGGTTGAGCCTTTCTTCAGGTTCCACATGTTTTGAGTGATTTCAGCTGGTGCATAAAGAAGGAATAAAGAAGCATCATCTATGCCCCCAAACTTGATGCTGATGGAAAATAGAAAGGAAAGCTGTGACTTTGGAAAAGAGAGATTGGAGAAACTGGAGCTTTGGACTAGAAAGAGATAGGAATTTGATGTGTAGGACAGGAGATGTGTGTGAGTGAAAAAGAGGTGGTGAGCACTGTGAGGCACCTCCCCTTCTTTCACAGCATCTTTGTTGTGGGACAGGAAGCACTTCTACCACAACTGTGGGACTATACAAGTTGCATTTATGTTATTCATTAAAAGAAAGCACAACATTGATCTGGCTTTGAAGACAGGTATCACAGAGCAACGGTGCTTAAGATTAACCCCCTCTGGAGGAAACTGGCCATGCTGCAAACTGCTAGCTACATCATGCTCAATAATGGAGTTCCCTGAGATGCTCATGAGTAGTAAGAGCCATAATTATTTCAACATTTTTGACAGTGATGTGTGGGTCTGTTGCAGCTTACAAGAGGACGTAACTGAGAATTAGTACTCCATGTGATACAGCATATGGGTGGTTAAGAATGCAGTGTTATGTGTAGGTGTTTAACACATTAGGGTAGAGCAAATAATACGAATGTACCTTATACACATTGACTTTTGGGAGTGGGATCTGATATGAACAGCCTCCCAAGACTATGGGGAGAAGGTTGCTCTGTTTCAGCAGGGGAATAGAAACTAATTACTGTGAAAAGCATATGGAGGATGAAAGGTTATAGTAGAAATAAAAATTTGATGTCAGTTTCTGATATGGTGCTGTGATGAAATCTTACTGACATGGTTGTGATACAGTGTTTGAAAACTATGTGCCCTTCATTCATATTCTCTTGCCTAGTATAAGCCACGTCCATGCTAAACCCCTCCTACTACATATAAACACAGATATGCATGTGAGGTATCTGAATTTCAGAAGAGTACATCATAGAAATGCTGCAATTACTTGTATATTTTTCATCCCATTAATCACTTTTTAATCTATATTTGCTTAGGAACTGTGAATAATAACTCCCCTAAGACCCAATTTTCATTGATTTTTTCAAAGTAGGATTTCAGCACAGGTTTTTACTATTTGTGTAAAGCATCGTTTATACCTATGTAGTACTACTACTACAAATAGAAAAGATTCCAGCATTAAAGCTGCAAAATGATTTCTACCTGTATGAACAATTTATCAGCAAGAATTTGTCATTTCACTTTACATGTTGCCTTCTCATCTTACCTTACAAATTTTGAATCTATACTTTTTCCTGAGTCCTTGATTCTGATAATTGCAGAGTTGGAACATTGTGTTGGTAATGGGAAAGACAAGGAATGAGCAAGAAATTTTCCATCTTGAGCAGACGGACAATTTCTAAATCCCCCCCCCCTCTTTTTTTTTTTTTTTTTTTGTTAGAATGTAAATGAGGAGAAAGAGAAGGAGAATGCCACAGACCCTGAGATATGTTCTTGTATGTATGTGCCCATCTGCAGCTGTAGGATAACATTTAAAAGTTGTACGTATGATATTATTTTAGTTTAATATTTGTTAAAATAAAGACATGCCTCATCTTTACACATAGCTATAAGCAATTCTATTCCAAAGGTAAAGAATAATATATATAGAATATGTTAGCAGCACCCTGTATGTCTCTTATTCTTCTTGTGAAGTAGAAGTTCAGCTGCTTTTCTGAACTCCAAGGGCAGGAAGATGTTACTCTCAGTGAGGGGTTGAACAAACATGCCTGGAGAATATATAAATCCAGGGAGGAGTAAACCAACTGGGTGACAAGGAAGAAATGGGAGCAGAGAGAAGTATGTCTCTTAACCTATCAGTATTGGAAAGGAATCTGTCTGAAGGACACAATAAAAATTAGTAGGATACAATCAAAGAGATGAGTAAATTATTGCTTAGTGCTACAAGGTCTCTTATAACGTCACATTTTTAATTTGACAACTGAGTTATAATTTACAGCAGGAATGAATTTGTCGATGGCAGATTTGGCTTGGGATGAGGGAATGCTTACTATATCACTGCAAAATATCAAACCATCTGTTTCATATATGGAGGCACAGATTGAGAAGAATGAATAGTTATCAATGCTTGCTAATATTCCTGATCCCCATATTTTGAAACATAATTTTATTGCAAATCTGAAAGTACATATATACATATAAGTATATATATAATATAGAATCATAGAATCATAGATGTAGATATATAGCCATATATATAAAAAATATAATATATAATATAGTATATGTATAATATATACTGCATAATACATATACTGTACCTTTAACTATTTTCTCTCTGTCAATCTCTGTCTCACAAATACATATGCACACACACAAATACTCAGCTGAAAGTAGAGTCTACATGCAGTTATTTTCATGTCAGAAATGGAAGAAATACCATTTTAGAATTTAAAGTAGGCTCTAGGATCAGATGGATTTTCAGCCAAATATAATAAAATATTTAAAAACATTTTATTTCATATTACTGAATGCTTATACAAATGACTCAAGAATGAAGCTCTTCCAAATTGCATAGTAATTGTTGTTCTTACTTTATTAACTAAAAAATAGCCATTTCTGGTATGTGGTTCATAAATATCCTGTTACTGATTTAAAGATTAGATTTCAATGT